AAAACCCTGGGAAAACTCCTTACTATCAGCCCTATCCCCGATAAGTGCCCACTCCGGAGCGTTGCGTATGACATTCCAGCGTTTTTTGGAGTCGGGCGTGACGGATCTCATCTCAGTCCCAGGGTAATGGCGGTCCAATGCGCCTGAGCACCTCTTCCGGTGCTTAGCGGTAGAAAGCTCAGAAAGCTTCTCGGTTGGTCACTTCTCCAAAATATTTTAGGGTCGTTTTAAATGCGGTCTGCGATCGCGATCGAACGTTGAGTCTTTCGTCATCGTAGTGCGCACTCGCTAATGTAATGTTTTGTATAATATCTGAAAGTGTTGTGAATGCTTATACTAAAACGTTTGTTTTTATTTGTATAGAGAACAATAGTGTCTAGACAAACCTAAAGAGGATTTAGGACGCTATTTGGATCAAATATGTAATTGCTCAATAATGAATAATAAATAAATATACATATATATATAATGAAGTTGAAGTTCCATTTGATTCTTATTTTAAAACGATTTTTCATCACTAGATATTTACAAGTGCTTCAAGCAGATTTAGATAAATTACTCACGTGCGAAGCGAACTAATTTTATACATATACATAACTACTAAGAAAGAATCCTTCACATCCTTGGACTTCAACGAACATTTTTTAAAAAAAATAATTGGTAAAATTGGTCCAGGCGTTGTTGAGTTATGTGCTTACCAACACAGTTTGCGATCCATTTTTATATTTTAAGATAGATAAAAATTAATACTAGGAAAAGGACAAAGGCTGCATAGCCGCAAATAAATTTTAAAGTTCCTTTATAAAATCATTTTTGGCAAGTAATTATTATTAATGTAAGCAGTTTAACACTGATTAATGTATTGTCGATCAGGAACTGACAGCAAGTCGTTAAATATGCTAAACAATAAACTAATCGCAAGTTTTTACTTTTGAGAAATTGTAGTTTTAAATTTTCAAAAAACATAAATCGCGTAGCGTTATTTTTTTTACAAAATTACTGAACCGTGTTCTATTTCAGGTACCTTTGCTGAATAAAACATCATACAACCGAAACATTGTACAGAATTCCAAATTTCTAAAATAATAATCAGATTCATTACATCCCATCTATTCGATCCCGATTTGCTCCGAGTCGAGCGATGCTGTATTCGATGCAGAATCGATTCGTCTCGAGAGCCGACGTGCCCGCCGTCGCGGTCGTCGACCCCAGAATACCTATCACAGAGATTTTTTGCTGGTCAACATTTGCGGCACGAAGAGGGGCGGAATACCTATTCTGATAGAGATTTAAACCTATTTTGTTATTTTTAAAGATAATGGTGGTCTAACGATATAAGTTTGGTCAGTGTTTCGACTCTCTCGATGGATAGAGTTTTATTCCCAGATGGGAAACACGCAGTAGAAAAATTACATAATGAAAAATGATTTTCTATTTTGTACTTTGTGTGTGATTTGTCACACAGTTACAAATCGAAAACGTTACCGTTTTTCGGCATAAATAAGGCATATAAAGCCATTACGTATAAAGCCATTGCTACAACTAACCTCATAAAAGAAGAAATACCGACTGAATAAAGAAGAATGCTCAGTTCAATGTGAGCTGTAGTTAAATACTGTAATCTGCACTTACAGAAGTCATGGCTACTTTTCCTGATTTTCTTTCGTTTTTCCCTCACTCACTTGGGTAATTTGATTGGACACTTACCTACGTTGATTGCTTTTTCAAATCACTGTAACGTAATTGAAGATTATCAATGCTTTAATAGTTGATAATGTAACCCCAAATTTTCAATTGATTCAATATTTTGAGATGTCTATCTAGTGATATCATAAAGGCATTAGGTTTATACAATAATATGGTGCCGCTGAAAAAATGTGTTTAGCGTGGTTAGACAAGATTAAATTTTATTGACAAGTGTAAGCACCTAATAATGCGAAGATTGAAGTAGTTGGCTGTCAGTACAAATAATTTTGTACACATAAGTTTTGTGGTCAAATGAAGACGCTGTGTTTTTTGTCTCGTGTTTGATATAAAAGCTAGATGCTCAAGATAACTATCAACTCGACACTTGATGTATTTTACTATCAGTTCATTGAGTTGTAATATGAGACAGTGAAGATTTCAATCAATATAATAAACTTACCATCTTTAGTATCCAAATTCATGAATAACAATATGGCGAGCTATTAGGAGGTGTATACTGAAAATACTATCAAAAATTAAAATTTAGATCTATCGCCAGACACAATACATATCTGACATATCATGTAGCACTATAATAGTTACCAAGGAAGACTTGAATTACGAAATTTTAATTGCAATCTTTAAAAGGCAGGCAACGCATGAAAGTGCTGAAACTGAACTGAAACCTCTCTTGGTGTTAGTAAGGAAAATGATTGAAAATCTAATCTTAGACCACGAGCGAGTGTTAGTTCAATTCTATGGAGATGGCAATGGAGGCAATTTATCATTTCGTAGCTTACTGCAAGTAAGCTTAGTTTCTTCCAAAACTTGTTTTCAGAAAGAGACACAAACACTAAACATGAATAATTATCTAACTGTATTAATTTACAAATGAAAGGACATTATGGAAACATCGTGAGTTGATTTGTCGCTCGATGTCGTACATTTCAATCAATATTTATCGACGAACGGTAGATAGCAATCAAACGCTAAATTATTTAGTACGAATGAACGTTTTATCTTCGGGCCGTAAACCCACGATGTATTTATTTAGGGATGCCTTCGTCAGATACAATCACGATCAATTTTATTATTATGTAACATCTTCATAATATTCAAAAGGGCTTTAAGATAAAGTTACTATTTATTTTAGAGTTCAACTTCTTTCAAAGTACTGAGCCTGAAAACAAAATAGAGTTTGAAACGAAATAGTGAACAAACTACTTTAAATTGAAGTAGTGATGACGATGCATTCTAAATAGTGGACCCAAACCATTCCAGCACAAGTAGGTAGAATCTTCCAAATAATCTCCTCTAGCTGTCAGTACTATGTTTTTGTTATTTTTATCTATGATAGACCTTTGTAAACTTTGAAAGTTTGAAACACAAAACCAAGCAGTTGTGAGACTTCTTCATCATGTCTTCATTATTTTTCAGGCATATGATATTGGAAAATAATGTAGTATTTTCAAACATAAAGGTACTTACTATTTATCAAGTGGATAGCTATACGAGTATCTATAGTAGAGACTAAGGCTGGGTTGCACCATCTTATTTTTTAACTTTGACAAACGTCAAAAATCTGTCAAACTCCATACAAAAAGCACCGATTATCGTTATAGTTACCTTTGAAATTAGGTGGTGCAACTCAGCTTAAGTAGGATAAACTCGTACTTTACATTTCTCATAATATTTCACACATCCCTGATGTTTATGCCACTAACTTATCCCGCGGGTAATTATGATAAGCCGGATTTGTGGCGTCATATAATTTACGTCAGACACTTCATTGCAGTGATGGCTCGAATCGGATTTATCGCGTCATTTGCCAGACTTTGTATTATGCAATTCGGATGCCTTAACTCTGCAAAACGATTTTGATGTCCTTGCTATATCTGTCTCTCTGTCGACCCAGAATAAAATGGAGTACTGGATAAAAGTGGAATGTAGCGATTATTACTTACTGCAATAAACAACACGGCGCAGGACCGGTCATAGTAGAAATCTTTTGGGAAGGCCAGGAATTTTCTTCTGGGCCACCCTGTACATAATTAATTAATTAATTTCAGCCACAGAACATCCACTGCTGAACATAGGCCTCCCCCAAAAATTCCATTATGCCCGGTTGGTAGCGGCCTGCATCCCACAACTTCCTGCTACCTTTATGAGGTCGTCGGTCCAACTTGTGTTGTGGGTGGACGTCTCACGCTGCGATTTCCTGCGTAAAATATGGTATATCTGCTCAAAAATTCATTTAGATATCATGAGCCTTGCTCATTTAGGTTATTATAATTTTAAAATCATTTAGGTTATCTTCTTAATTGTAATTCTTACTCAGGCTCCTAATTATGAATTTATGTGAAATACTAAGCTTGTTATTAACTTTAATACTTTCAGAGCAATCCAAGTAAACTTCCATTCATGTACCAACTGCGCGGATATAGAGCGTAACCCGCCTTAATGAGTTCCTCCGCTAACGGGCCGATCTTATCTTATCCACTGCGTTACATACACGGACACCCCGTTGGACGGTAATTATTTAATAAGCACCATGTATAATTAGTTTAAAACCAGATTAAGATTGACTAGTAAGGGAGAGTCCGCTAATTTGGACCAGTTTTTTTCTATCCCATTTNTTCCAGCTCCATCATCAGATCAGCTCCATGTCATCATAATATTGCATGGTCATCTAAATCACATGCATGTGTTTGCGAAATTTCAGCTTAATCGGTTGCCTGGAAGTGGGTCTTAATTCAGCTTGCAAGATTCCACCCATACAAATATGAGCCAGTCGTTGTAATATGACGTCACGCACGCGCATAAAATGGCGGCCGGCCGCCGCCCGCACTTTTAAAATTCAATATCTTGGAAACTAATTGACGTATCGAAATAATTCTTTCACGTGTATTTTTTATTTTTAACAGAGAATACAGAAAGCTAAAAAACAAAATTAGTGAACATTCTTCATTACACAATATTGTTATTGACATTGAGCATACATTTTTTTAAATACCTTCGCGAAGTAAAACTTATACGTATTGTATAGTTCCAAAATACTGAACTGTCCTATCGATGACATTGACAGCGGGGCGCCACCGTCAATACCAAACCCTGGTTCCGATTTTTGCCATGTTGGAAACCATAAAGTTGAACGATGGTAGCGCCCCCCTGTCATTGAGTTTGGCGGGACAGTTCAGCGTGGGTCATTTAAAGTACTTATTATTATTCTGTGGTGGTAACATTCAATTTTGCCACCCCAACCTCTAGACGGGTGGCACTTTTTGATCGCTTTCATCGTGATCCGATAGTAAAACGATGCTTGTACGATCTTGATTCGATTAATTTCACGGCTTGTTGCATCTCTAGATAAAAAGTCAAAAATTGGACAAATGTCTTGTTTGTGGTCTCAATAATGAAATCTATGTTTTGCGGAGTACACAAGTACACTTTGCTTCAATGTAATGAATTTGTGAGTTGCCACTAATTTTATTTTACTGGTGGAATATTTGTGAGAACTGCAATTTACGCGACTTAAGTGCGTGGCACTAGAAGAAATTGAAAGGTAATTTATGCATGTGTGGAATTTTACCAGGATTGCACATTGTTGAAGTATGGCGCGACGATCTTGCGCATCGCATCGTCTCGTTTCAGTAGTACTCAAATGCAATATAATCTCGCAATCAATGGTTGACGGTCTATGATCTTCAATAATGCTAGTTAATAAAGCACTGTAAGATAGTTCCAAACGTTATCCGAATGAGATTTTTTGTTTTTTTTTTCAATTGGAGAGTGAGCAAAGGTTTTGTTTCTAGTTGGAAAACGGATTCACTTTCAACCGGTTGTCTCAATCGCCCGTGTTTGGTCTACGATGTGTTTGAGCGCTGATGTGATTGCATTCTCGGGCTAAGCAAGCTCCAAGGATTTCCAACATCATGGACGAGGATGGCGACGATAAAGATGACTCCAAAAGGTAAGTGTAGTTGATATTGACTCTGCAAGTATTTGCTGACTTCATTTTATTCTTTGTTGCCTAGTAGTATCCAAATTCATATGAAAATTAGAGTATTAGGTAAGGTTTGATGATGATCCATCATTAATACCATACTTAAAAATAACTAAAAAAATAAACACTTTATGGGTGTGTTCATTAAGTGAAAAAATATATTTTTAAGTAAATAATTTACTTTGAAATAGAAAACTTAAGAATTACTTTCATGCTCGGTTAAGGATTCACTAGCCTCATTTATAAATTCGCTTTATATTTAGTATAAAAATTATGTTTAAGAAAATGATCGCCCAATACTAAATCATATTATACAGGAGGACTAGAAATCTTAGCGAGAAGAAGAGACGCGATCAGTTCAACATGCTGGTCAACGAGCTCAGCACAATGGTGTCCACAAACAATAGGAAGATGGACAAGTCCACTGTCTTAAAATCTACCATATCATTCCTGAAAAATCATAATGGTAAGTAATTTCATTTTCACTCTTTTCTAATTTTTTAGTACCAATACCAAATCAGTATTACATGAGCACTTCTAACATGTCCATACTGATAAACAGCCGTACCAAATTTTTTCTGCCAAAACTAATCAGTCCCACTCTTTAAAGCTTGGCTTTTATCTTTTACTTTTAATATTTTATTAAAGATCTTTTCATAGCTCCTTTGATATCACGCTAAAGCACCAATTATAACCTCGGTATCATGTTGAGCTGACAAGTCCGCAGTCAGACCATAATATGTTTTTTCCCCTTCATATTACATGTAACACCTACTAGTTACATGTGTGTGATGTGTTGGGTGTTATGGATGCAAATTTATTAAATCATTTCTAGAACATGCAACCCAGATTCGTCGATTGACCTCTTCCTCGAAGTGGGGCGTACCTAATTGAATCGTTTGTCCTAAGTACATAGGCATACAAGACAACAAACCAGGCAACTATAGGCATACAAATTCATAATATTAAGAATGTTTCATACTGATAATGTTTGAATTAATTGTCAAATGAATTTCACTTGATATTGTGTTCAACCCTTTGAATATGGGTTAGAAGAGATTAAAAAAGATAATATCAAGAATAATGTTGTGATAGAAATTTATCGTGATTATTCACAGATACCAATATATTTGACAGAGTTTCCGATCATTTGTGCTTATTTGGAATTACCTACTCCAAAATAAATAAGACGTCACTGCTTTCATAACAATAGGGGCGGGAATCGAACCCACGACCTTTCGCTTGCTTTTTTCATGTTGTTTATTTAAAGTTTAGTTTGAGGAGCCACTCTAATCGCTACGAAAAAAATTAATTAAGATAGTATCTTTTAGTTAATAAATGGAGCATTTATACTGTTCAAAGGATGCTAATATTTAATTATTTCAGAAATCACTGTAAGGTCACGAGCACATGACGTCCAGGAGGACTGGAAACCAGCATTTCTGTCCAACGAGGAGTTTACTTACTTGATCCTGGAGGCACTTGAAGGATTCATGATGGTGTTCTCGGCGTCCGGGTGTATTTACTACGCATCAGAAAGCATCACTTCTTTGCTTGGTCATAATCCGGTAACTATGCATACTCATTATGAATTTATTACAATGAAAATGTTATTCCCATCACTATTTGTGTGTATCCTAGTTCGATATTATGATTGTTTGTGATTTTTAACTCAAGGTTGATTCCACCAACTTGTTCTTTTTTGTTACAGTCTGACCTTGTAAATAAAAGTATATTTGATTTGGCGTATGAAGAAGACAGAGCGGGTCTATACAACCTCCTTCAGAATCCAGGCGCCGCCATAGACCCCTTGCAGCCTGGACCGAAAGGTAAGATTAAATAAAAGTTTTGTCATAATTACGAATTTGATTATTTATTTATACAAAAAAAAAGAAGCAATCAAGCAAGAAATTACAGCTGTGCTATAGAGTACCTACAATAAGCTGTGTTCTGCTCTGAACTGTTTTTACAACAGCTCTTGAATAGTTATGATAGATAACATAGTACGAGCCTGTGCATATCATGTATTATTTTATTATGTAACATGTTATGTTCCTCCCTTTCTTTGTAAAAGCAAGCTCCATTATTTATCGGTCTGTTACTTAAATATAGAACTTTGGCCTACATTTATGGATGCTTATGCTCACTGCTCAGCGAATGATAATAACCTGTATTTTGCGAAGTAATATTCAGCTCATGCGACGTAACTTATAGCCGAATAAATTGTATATTATGGTAAAAGAGCCCAATATATTGCATTGAAAAAACCTATGAAAAACCAAAATTACAGTTTCTGAAAGGTAACACCTTGAAACTGATGATATAAACCTGAATGAGGTAAAAAGCTTAGTATGTTACTGATTACAAAAGCCAAACAAAACGCTACAACTATTAAAAAGTAACTCTCAAAATTGGTCGATATATTTCAATGTTATGCTATGCGCTAGTAAGTAAGTTGTGGAATATTCTTAGTTCTCACACTATGTGATTCTGATTGCATACGCTATAATTAAGTGTAGATAACGGAGCTTGCGTCATGTTACGGCTGTATCGAATTTCTCATTTTGATACACTGCAAATTCTGTGCCCCTGTTCATGAACCAGTATTGTTTTGCTGAGCAGGTAATTACTGTTTACGATGAACAAACATAGCTTGCGTTGCGTGGTTTCAGTTTATCAAAGAAATTGTATCTTTGGGACACTAGATATTCGATGAATACTTTGAATGGCTAAGGGACTAAAGTATAAAACCGGCCGAAGCGTAGCAGGTTTATCGCGTAGCTGTGTAATTTTTATGAGCGCCACGTTGGCGAGTGAAACGCATAAAAATATGTACCACTCCTAGCCACCTAACACCATCTGTAAACGCAGCCTCAGGATTGATATAATATTCGTGGTAACTCTACCTCTTCCTATTAAAACTAGGATTGTAGGGCAAAAGGATGTTCTACCAGCATAAAAGGCCGTATTTGTTAGGTTCCAATATGAAGTAAGTAAAAGCTGTAAGAATTATATTTATGGAACTAGCTGTGCCCGCGACTTCGTACGCGTGAAAACCCGTTTTCGCAACATTTTTCATTGTTGCTCTGTTCCTATTGATCGTAGCGTGATGTTGTATAGCCTATAGCCTTCCTCGATAAATGGGCTATCTAACACTGAAAGAATTTTTCAAATCGGACCAGTGGTTCCGGAGATTAGCGCGTTCAAGTAAACAAACAAACTATACTAATATTAAAAAGCTAAAGAGCTTTATAATATTAGTATAGATTTGAATCAAGTGGTAAAATACTTGTATTTGTTAATTATTTAGGCTGTCTCGTATGTCGTGCGAAGATGCCACCGAGGGGGCTGCGATTCGAAACGATTTTAGCGAATGAAATTCACGCGAACAACCTTATAATTTAACTTAAAATTATCTTTTAACGTAATTTCAAAATCCAATGGAGATGGTATTTGTGTAAACGACAGTCTCGTATCCGTGAAGAATTAATATAATCGTTCACAGTCGCTGTCTGGAAGTACCCAGTCTTTCAAGTATGATTTCTTGTTGCTACGACGACGTCGCGACGGTTCATACCTCCGTTCTAAAAATTCCACCACGTTTTCCAGAACAGTTGCGAATTGCTGCAATGTACAAAGTTTTTCTATTATTATCAGTTTCAAACAACATTTATGGCTTTAACTTCTTGCGAAATTTTTCTACTGGTCGTTGCTTATTTTGCGTCAACCACGTGAAGTACTTCGAAAAAAAAGAAGCTCTATAAAACTCAAACTAAGCAAGCTACACAGCAAAACCTGGGCGAACTTTTACAAACTTAATACTGTGGGGTGTGTAATTTTACAGATTTCTCGGAATGTTTTATTTACATTTTGTTTATTTGTTGAGAAAAGATGCTGTACAGAAAGCTTTGCGTTTCTTTGCAGATGAAATTAGGTTCCAGTGCCATTTGCGGAGAGGCAGCCTGGACTTTAGAGATGACACCATGTACGAATTGGTGCAATTCAATGGCCACTTCCGTGAGTATTCTGCTTATAATTTACTATTTTTTTTGTTGTTTTTTACGTGTTTAGTTTTGTTACAAGTTGAGGTCATTTCTAGTATTTTTTAATAGCCGAGTTTACGTTTTTTTCTAAATAGGTCCCTCTTCGCCCTTATCAAATGTTGATGGTTGATTCGGAGGTTTAGCTGAGAACTTCACCACCACAAGACCAACTCGACCTCAGCAAATACAAACATTTGTTTGCATGAACATAATATCTGTTTCTACTATCCTTGATATTTTCTATGTGAAAATACATAGTAAACACCAATTTTCAGTATTTTGTCGAGCTTCAATTTAGTTATGTCGAAAGTTTAGGTACCAACATTTCATCACATCTAGCGCTGCCGTAGGCAACAATTCCACGTGGGGTGCGAAGCCCTAAAAACTACAGCCGAACGCTTCTTTCAATCACCCTTTCTCAGACTTTCTAGCTAAATACCTTAAGCCAGACTTTTGGTAGACTTTTTACCTCATTACGAAATTCCAGTTGAAGCAAAAGACTGCCGGAAATTGGCGTCTTTTTTTTTTCGCGCGGCCATCGATCAAACTTTGTTTTTTGATTACAAAATAGTGTAATAAATCAAACTTACTATGACATGTATANGCCCGCGGCTTCGCCCGCGTGGAATTTTGTCTGTCACAGAAAAACTTTATCGCGCGCGTCCCTGTTTCAAAAACCGGGATAAAAACTATCCTATGTTCTTTCCCGGGACTCAAACTATCTCTATGCCAAACTTCATCAAAATCGGTTGCGAGGTTTAAGCGGGAAAGCGTAACAGACAGACAGACAGACAGACAGACAGACAGACAGACAGACAGACAGACAGACAGAGTTACTTTCGCATTTATAATATTAGTTGGGATATCTTTCAATTTGTTTTTAATAGAGACAGTTATTATACCCATTAGGATTTATAGTGATAAAAGTGGCACAGCTTATTTATTACTTTTAAAAGCTCACATAGGACATGTAAATTTTGCAGTCGACCTAGTTTTTATGAGCATGCTAACAGAGGGTAGGCAGGAAATGTGCACTTGGGAACACGGTCAGTGCCGTGCTGCCTCGCTGCCGCCGGTACAACGGCACAAGTGTCCATCTTGTATCCCCTACCTTTTTATATTACCTGTTAGGTAAGTATAGATAATGGGATGTCATAATAATTAGTGAGGGGTCGATTTTTTTTTGTTGGTCTTCGGCACTTTTGCGATTTTGGTTAAAATGTGCTTACAGTTGATTGAACTTCTGAAGTTCGGAGCCCAAAAGGGCGTTTGATTGCAGTCTGCTAATGAATACAGTCTGCTACCAAACGTGAAATGACACAGATCCAACAATACTCAGCTTAAACATGCTATGTTTTGTTGATCCCCTTGAGTTGATGAACTATTGAGTTGGTGAGGGGTCTATTAACTGTACTAGTAAGGCGCTACTTTATGAAGCGTTATCATTTATTTTGGTGAGGTCAAAGTCTTAAGTCAAGAAGTAGGTGTACCTACCTGAATTCAGGATTACCAAAAAACTTTGGCAGATTAGGTAGGTATAAACATCTCTATTAAATAGAATCTATTAAAATATAAATAAATGATAGCAAGATAAGCTTGCTCCCTTGTAATACTTCGCAGTCATTATCCATTTTCAGAGAAATATTTCGAGTGGAATTTTCCCGTGCGATCCCGCTTAAGCAAATCAACAATTTATCTACTTGACTTAGCTCGATACTTGACCGCGAACAAAATCCGTCATCTACTACTACCTACTTATCATGCATTTGATTATAAACTTTCTGATCCCAGCAAAATGGCCTAGTTTTTTTAATCCGCAGTTTTGTCAGGAAGGCTCCGTGTAGCGGGTACCCGGGACACGTCTGTCCCGCCGGCGGCGGTACACGCTACAAGCGGTGTCTGGCAATTACCATCAACTAGATTGAGCTAGAAATATGAGCTGGGAGTCTAGATTTGTCTCACGTTGGCCTGAGAATTAAGACTGAAACCGATAGAATATCTGGATGTTATAGCAACGATTTGCACCCTAAAGGTACTCATAGAGTTTAAAATCGTTGTATCACTTCAGTTCAGTTCAAGTTACAGAGTTTGTTAAGACACTGTTTGAAAAATCGCTACCCCTAAAGAGCAAATATTGCACTCGAAATTGTGTATGATTGATAGGAGAGAATCACGCGGCTCCCTAGCTTAATGCTATATGGCCATACATTGTTACTATGATCTCTATAATATAACCTTTAACATTATTAGAGCCAGCCTAAAGTCTCTAGGCCCGTGGGAACTTAAATCAATGACTATTAGAAAGTTCCAGAATGTCATTATTTCGATTTTCAGTTGCATTTCGTATGACATTGGTCAGGCATGGCGTCCCGCTGACAGTTAAGAAGATGCTGCGCTAATGTGCCCGCGATAATGGATGCAGTGTAGGCTGCGGCTTGATTGAGAGCGGATTGAGTAGATATTTTCAGGTGCGCCTCGTATGACATTGGTCAGGCATGGCGTCCCGCTGACAGTTGTGAAGATGCTGCGCTAATGTGCCCGCAATAATGGATGCAGTGTAGGCTAGGGCTTGATTGAGAGCGGATTGACTAGATATTTTCAGGTGCACCTCGTATGACATTGGTCAGGCATGGCGTCCTATTTATTTCGGCTATTTATTTATTATGTTGTGTATTTGCAAACATTGCAATAAATAATATAAAAGTAATCAGCTGAATTTTTTCCAGATAAGTATGATTTCAGACAAGGAAAAGTTACAAAAGATATACGAGTACAAACGTAGTATATTATTTTCTTTTCCTTGCGTCAAATCATGTCAGTCCTTCTTTAAGGTTAGTAATCCTTAGACAAATAAATACATTAGTAAATCAAAATCATAACAAGCTTATATCAGCCGCTTGCAGTCACGCCACCGTCCAAGAAGATGGCCAGAGCGTGACGGGCGCCCATCTACAGATAGTACCTACGCAGATCATATCTAAATTACAAGAGCAGCGTTCAACGACCAGCCTAGCATGAGCTCTAGTTTCCCCAGTCTACCACCAGTCTAAGGGTCTAGATATTANTTGTTGTGAAAAGTGCTCTACTCTGAGAAAAAGCTTTACCACCACCTTTGTAACATTATGGAAGCAATAAATTATTGAGTATATCTTTCAATTTGTTTTTAATAGAGACAGTTATTATACCCATTAGGATTTATAGTGATAAAAGTGGCACAGCTTATTTATTACTTTTAAAAGCTCACATAGGACATGTAAATTTTGCAGTCGACCTAGTTTTTATGAGCATGCTAACAGAGGGTAGGCAGGAAATGTGCACTTGGGAACACGGTCAGTGCCGTGCTGCCTCGCTGCCGGCGGTACAACGGCACAAGTGTCCATCTTGTATCCCCTACCTTTTTATATTACCTGTTAGGTAGGTATAGATGATGGGATGTCATAATAATTAGTGAGGGGTCGATTTTTTTTTGTTGGTCTTCGGCACTTTTGCGATTTTGGTTAAAGTACCTAATACGTGCTTACAGTTGATTGAACTTCTGAAGTTCTGAGCCCAAAGGGCGTTTGATTGCAGGCTGCTAATGAATACAGTCTGCTACCAAACGTGAAATGACAAAGATCCAACAGTACACAGCTTACATGCTATGTTTTGTTGATCCCCCTGAGTTGATGAACTATTGAGTTTGTGAGGGGTCGATTTTCACAGCAAAGATTAATTATGCTAGCAACTGTACTAAGGCTAGTAAGGCGCAACTTTATGAAGCGTTATCATTTATTTTGGTGAGGTCAAAGTCTAAGAAGTCAAGAAGTAGGTGTACCTACCTGAAAACTGAATTACCAAAAAACTTTGGCACATTAGATATTAAAGTAAATAAGTAGGGATCTATAAAATATAAATAAATGATGGCAAGAAAAGGTTGCCCCCTTGTAATACTTCGGAGTCATTATCCATTTTCAGAGAAACATTTTGAGTGGAATTTTCCCGTGCGGTAACAGCCAAGTAAACCGACTATTTATCTACCGCAAGCTTACCTCGATACTTGACTGCGAACAAAATCCGTCATCTACTTATCATGCATTTGATTATAAACTTTCTGATCCCAGCAAAATGGCCTAGTTTTTTTAATCCGCAGTTTTGTCAGGAAGGCTCCGTGTAGCGGGTACCCGGGACACGTCTGTCCCGCCGGCGGCGGTACACGCCACAAGCGGTGTCTGGCAATTACCATCAACTAGATTGAGCTAGAAATATGAGCTGGGAGTCTTGATTTGTCTCACGTTAGCTAGCCTGAGAATTAAGACTGAAATCGATAGAATATCTGGATGTTATAGCAATGAATCGCACCCTAAAGGTACCCGAATCATAGTTTTGTATTTCTAGTCAAGTTAAAGAGTATACAAAGTTAATACAAAGATATTCGACTCGCAATTTTTGAATGATATGATAGAGACGCCCAGCTCCCTAGCTTGCTAGTTGCTTAGCTAGCTTAGTAATGCATGGTCGTAATATTCTTACAATACCCTTTATTACTATACATTTTATCTTTAAAATTTTTAGAGCCGGACCAAAATCTCTAGGCCCGTGGGAACTTAAATCTATGGCTAATAGAAGGTTCCTGAATGTCATTATTTCGATTTTCAGTTGCACCTCGTATGACATTGGTCAGGCATGGCGTCCCGCTGACAGTTATGAAGATGCTGCGCTAATGTGCCCGCGATAATGGATGCAGCTAGGCTGGGGCTTGATTGAGAGCGATTGAGTAGATATTTTCAGGTGCGCCTCGTATGACATTGGTCAGGCATGGCGTCCCGCTGACAGTTATGAAGATGCTGCGCTAATGTGCTCGCGATAATGGATGCAGTGTAGGCTGCGGCTTGATTGAGAGCGATTGAGTAGATATTTTTAGGTGCGCCTCATATGACATTGGTCAGGCATTGCGTCCCGCTGACAGTTGTGAAGATGGTGCGCTAATATGCCCGCGATAATGGATGCAGGGTAGGCTGCGGCTTGATTGAAAGGATTTTGCAGTGTATTTCTATTATTGGCAATATATTTAAAGGAGAAATAAGTTATCATCTTTCAGTGGCTATTTATTAAATTGTGTATTTGTAAGCATTTTTACTATTTAAACCTAAATAATATAAGTAATCAGCTGAAAAATTTTCCAGCTAAGTATTTTCAGACAAGGAAAAGTTACAAAAAATATACGAGTACAAATGTAGTATATTATATTTTCTTTTCCTTGCGTCAAGTCATGTCAATCCTTAAGGTGAGTAATCCTCAGACAAATAAATACATTAGTAAATCTAATTCATAACTAGCTTAATATCAGCCGCTCGCAGTCACGCCACCGTCTAAGAAGATGGCCAGAGCGTGACGGGCGCCCATCTACAGATAGTACCTACGCAGATCATATCTAAATTACAAGAGCAGCGTTCAACGACCAGCCTAGCCTGAGCTCTAGTTTCCCCAGTCTACCACCAGTCTGAGGGTCTAG